GAGCATGTTTGGTGTGACGGGGATTCGAACCCGCGACCCGCAGATTGCGAGTCGAGCGCCCTAATCACCTGGCCATGCCGGGCTTTTTATATATTATATATAAATATACATAACCACAAGGGAGAGAAAACATTCATCTGTTCTCCACTGGCTAGCAAAAACAAAAACAACTGTCAAATGAAGTTATATATTACGATAATTTAAGGTGGTGAAAGTGAGTCGAACTGAACGCTGTTGTCGGGCGCACTCTGCAATCTTCGATCAATATTACGGTCGCTCTGCAATACTTACTGAATACACCTTACTTCCGGTTTATTTTGTGAGACGGCCAAATGTGCAAAATAAATATTCATCGAGCATGAATGCGTGTTAACCATGACGAAAATATTAATAAACAAATAAATAATCCACAGTGACAGGGTCAGAAAAGGTCAAACCGTATTCACAGCTACACGTAAGAACCCGTGCATGTTGCTTTATCAAATATTCATAACCAGTCGTTAAATAAACGCAGCTAGGATGATTAATACATCAATTACATGTTGGCTACGATACATAAACCCATGCAAAACGAAACGCCTCGAACACACTTCCTATCTATTCATCAATTGTTAAGAAAACGCCATCTATCAAATACTATACGTTAAGTCTTCCCGGGTTTTGCGTTACATCATTACCACAAGTATATTTTTGCAACTTAACAAAAGTGAAACCGTAATACAGCTGTTCATCATCGTGGTAAAGTACAAGAAAATGTTTGTTTCCTATAAGAACTGTAAACCTTATAATTTGTGGAACTGTATCTTTTGTTTTCTCGCAGAATTTGAAATATCTTGTAATTTATTAAAGAATGTAAGCAAATCTAATAATCCGAGCTTGGATTTACATAAAAGCTATACTACATCTTGAGCTCTCAAACTATAAAATAATTAGAATATTAATTTTTGTGTTTAAAACACTCGAATCATAACTTATTCTTCGTGTAACGTATGCATCATGGGCAAAACTGGGGCTTATACCTAACACAAACATTTCATTGTTTTCTGGATCTCTAGTTTTATTAACAGTTAAACCTCACGATCAATAAAAAAAACTTTAGACTAAAAAAACTGAGAAAGTCAACTTGAAATGTTACGATACACTCTTCTTGACTGTAGTTTATATCATTGTAGTTGGGCTATTACGATCCACTATCTTATTATAGCCTAATTAGTTTAATTGAACTGTAGTGATACACTGATCATGTATGTGCCTTATAGGTGTTGTGAAACGTTATGGTATATTCTCATCTAATCAAAAACACCTTAGGTGTGAATAAAAAGGTGCGGCCAAAAAAAGGATTGAGTGTGCGACTTAAAGGAATGAAATGAAAACTGGCGGCCAAACTGGTAACTAAACTTATAGCATTGATAAAAATTTTACAGTAAATATTTATTCATTAATTAGCCAGGCCGCGTTTTTTGTCCAAGTTGGGGCATGATGATTAGGAGAATTTCATAAAAGTTAGCATAAAATTTAAAAGTTGGCACTGAATAATGAATAACAACCATCCATGCGTATGATTCTTTTGAAAACATGAGCTAGAAACTGATAATCTAGTTTGCTTGGGCTAACAAATACTTATCTTTCTGCAAGTCCTTTCGCCCTATAGTTCTGCTGCCCTAAATCAGTGGTCTTTAATCCGAATGACGAAAAACTGTCCAATTTTACTCTTAGGTGAAGCTGTTGTAAATATTTCAGACCGATAGCTAGCGTAACTTTTTGCGTAGGCATGCGCAAAAAACTTTGGTCAAATTTGAGCGGTTTTTGTTGAATAACTTTTTTACATGTGGCATATATTTAAACCAAATTTGACACGTAATTGTAGGCTGTAAAGATTTATCAGTGTACCAGACTTGAAACAAAATCCTTAAAAGTTAAGTATGTTTTTCTATTAAATAAAGTTTCCGTACTTTCGATGCGAAGAAAGAAAAAAATTCAATCAAAATTGGAGATTTTATATCTCGTGTATTGCTTAATGAATTGCATTGAAATTTGGTATATGATGTAACGTTCCAGTAGTACACACCCACTGAAAATATGTGGTGGTTTGGATTACCACAGTCCGAGCTACAGAGAGTGGAAAACCGCTAAACTATCACTCCTGTAAATAACACACAGTGTGTCCTGCAGGTTGTTTTAGCCGCACGACACTCTACCGTGTGTCTTGATTACAGTCCTTGTCAATGCAGTAGAAACTTGATGGCATATTCTTATTACAGTCCTATTCGGCGCAGTATAAATATTATAGTAACTTCTTATTACAGTCCTATTCAGCGCAGTATAAATATTATAGTAAATTCTTATTATA